ATGATAGGCCTAATAATAATAATAATACGAATGACAACACAATAACAAATGGTTATTCTTGTTATTAGTATAGCTAGCTAATAACAGTCTTATACATTATAATGTTTTTATTTTATTTATCATGTTAGTTTATCAATAATAAGTGATCAATGGACTCCTCCATCTGGTTTGTTTACGCTGAAACGCAGACAATGATCCGGTGTCTGTCAGATTTACACGTAGATTTATCCACTTATCTACAACAGCTTTGTGTAAGAAACACACGGGAATTTAATCAAAACTTCCACCTTAGCTCTCCTTGGCATGAATAGACACTTGAAGGGGGGTGAAGCATTCTTCACCCGAGTTTGCTGTTTGGTAATAATTAAGTTAAACATTTGTGACTGTAAATGAAACCACAGAGTAAATAGTCTTTATCCTGGATGAGATCCTGGTGGAAAGGAGTCTCACGTCGTGCTGAAAGCGTCTGAAATGATGCATCTTCATCAACAAGTAGGCGTGCTGCAGGATGTTGCAGAACTGGTGCACGGGGTGTGTGTGCGTGCGTGTGTGTGTGTGTGTGTGTGATTGACTCAAGGCATGCATGCATGTGGCTCTGACGGAGCAGATTTTACCTTATTACAGTGATTTCATAATGCAGCAACTGTCAAACTTGTAAAACTGGCCAGCTGTGTGTGTGTGTGTGTGCAGCAGTAAGGAACTACACTGTCTAAATGAGGTCCGTCTGATTCTGTCTTTCACTCATCGTAATGAGAACACGAGAAGAGAGAGAGAAAACTAATGATCTGATTAGATGGATGTTTCTGGAGATCTGGCCCGCTCTGCAGATGCAGGGGAACCTATTAGAGTGAGCCACTGTCACTGTGTGTGTGTGTGTGTGTGTGTTTGCCTTCATTCACAGTGTTTGTTAAGGCAGTGGTGGTGGCTAAGAACCGTTGTTTTATTTTAGTTTCTCTCTAAGTCACTCCTGTCATCATCAGCGGTGGAATGTATTGTCACGGGACTCGGAGATGGTTTCACTGAATGAGAGTTTCATCAGCTTCCACTCAGAACCCTGTGCTGTGTTTGTGTGTGTGTGTGTGTGTGTGTGTATATATAGAAGATTATATAATGATCAGGACAGGTAGGCAGCTCACTAGGTTTTGGTCCAGAGCCCTTGTATCTCAGCATCATAACCTGTAGAAAGGAGAACAAGAAAACCGCATACTAATCTGCATACCATCCATCATCCTTATCTTTATTAATCATTTTTAATAATCATTTCATCTTTCATGGTAATTACTACTTTTTACATTTTATGCTACTGTTTTTTTTGTAAAGCACTTTGTAAACACTGTTTTCTCATACTTACTTAACCCACACAAACCTGCTTTCTTTTATCTGTCCTTTTCAAAACAACATTTGACCTTAAATGTGGACATCCTCAATAACGTTGAGTGTTCAGATGGCCTTTACAACACGAATAAACCCTTGTTTAGCATGTTCTCCACATAAACCACAGTGGTGTCACAACACTTGTGCTCGTTCTGCATGTGCTCAGGAATGTTTGCTGCAGTTATGTTTGTGTTAATCTGATTTGCACCGTTTTCATCTCAACGCTAATCTTGTTACTGTCTAAAATAAGCTTTCATTCGAGTGAATACTTGATTGCTGTGCGTGTGGAGCCTCCGCATATGTCCTGAAATCCTCTAGTCCTGAAGGAGCGCAGCACTGAAGGAGGTCAAACCCGGGCTTGAGTTTCACACTTATGGCATAAACATTCATTTCTATAGTTTATGTTCACAGTTTGTTTGGCTTACAGGTTAAGCATCATCAACAGACTAATGTGTTATACAGTACAAGAAGTGGTTTAAACCTAACTTTGGCTTCGTCCCAATTTGCATTATTTTGTGATGCACTAACAGTAGTACTTGTAGTGATGGTGAATATGCTTGTTATGATAAACTACACCATTATTAGGTCATGCATACATAAAACAATTGCGAAATGATGATACCAAAAAGCCCTTTGACGTATGCATTAGCTTAATTAATTACCCAAAAATGTATTATACTTTTCTGTTAGGTGCATTTATTTAACTACATTTGTTATTTAACCTTTCATTTTTATTTTATAGCCTAGTATTTATATTTTTGTGTTGTTATATTTTATTTTAATACTATTATACTACATCTTGAGTATGCAAAGTGTTAGTGTGCTGCTTAGGTAGTATTCCTGTGTGTGTCTGAATGTTTTGGCACGCAGCTCACTAGGTTTTGAGACACAGTCACACATGAGGGAACATGCGTTCATGTCAGGTGATCATAAAGTGTGACATCATACATCACTGTCTCAGTGTTTTTATGAATACAGATACAGTGTCTTCCTGCTACAACAAATGTGTATTTGTGTGCGGGACTATCCCATTAAACATTTATCATTACACCGACTGAAATATTCATGGCTCTGGAGTCCTGACAGTCGTCACCAGCCGTATGAAACGGATCCGCCTCAGGACCTGAGCGCTGCATGCTGGGGCTGCTATGGAAACTAGGGACCCGATTTAGTGTGTGTGTGTGTGGTATTGTAGTTAACGTTATTTGGAGTCAGTGAGGGAATAGTGAACTATCTCTATAGAGAAACACAGGAGTTTAATAAGGTCTCTTCTCTGCTATGTTTGCAATTATTACTAGTGTACCTCATACACAGAACTGGCCAATTTAAAAAGTAGTATGTGACGCAATATTATGCAAGGATAAATGTTTAAAACAGTAGTATGCTACATGATATCAGTGAGCAGCGCCCAGTTATTTAGCATTTTTATTCCAATGATGATTTAACATTTGCCAGGCTGAGTAATGCATCATTCAACACAAGGGATAGTTCACCCAAAAAAAATAAAAATAAATGTAGTCATCTCTTACTCATCCTCAAGTTGTTTCAAACCTGCATGAGGTTCTTTGTTCTGCTGAAGACAAAAGAAGATATTTTAAAGAAAATCAAATGTTTGGTTACCAACATTCTTCAAAATAACAAAGAAATTCATACAGGGTTGAAACAACATGAGGGCCAATAAATGACATAAATGTAATTTTTTGGGTGAACTATCCCTTTAAGTCATAAAGGGCATTTATGTAGTTGGTTCTGCTGTGTACTGGCACATTTTTTGTTTTTTTAAAATTTATTTAACCTTTATTTAACCAGGAATAGTCCCATTGAGTTACAGTAACTCTTCTCCCAGGGAGTCCTGGTCAAGATAAAAACATTCATACTACATGAAACATTAAAAAAAATTACATTTACAGTTCTGCTGTGTACTGGCAATACTTGACAAATTATCATTAATTCTTTGCCTCCTATTCTTATCAGTGCAAAAACATTATCATTATTGTTGTAGCAATAATTTAAATAATAATAATACATATGTTTTTATTGTTGCAGTATATTCTGCATATTTATTATCAGACAGTATTGTTGTTGTTTTTATTATTAACAATGTGCGGAATTGTTTTAATTATTTTTATTTATATACGTATTGTCATTAATAATAATAATTTTGCAATATTGTTTTCATTATTTTTTATGTTGATGATAATAGCAATAATAAAATGTGTAATGGTTAAAGCAGAAATAAAACAATGTCATATAGCAAATATGCAGAATTTGAAATATTGAATAATAATTATTATCATTATTAATTACAGAATTATTTTATTATTTTTATTGATGTATTATTATTATCGTTGCTGTTGATTAATAATAATAATCACAAAATTATTCATAATAATAATACATTTGTTTTGTATTGTTGCAGTCTAACAACAAGCATACAAGCATAATTAAAACTATATTAAATTCTGTGTATTGGTTGTCAGATATTTAAAAAATAATTGGTATATCGGTCATAGAGGGGAAATATTGGTCGACTCTCGTAATCTTCGTTCTGAACCAGGGTTGATCTCTCCCACTCATCTATTCATAGCTTTTGCTCTGCGTAAATTACTGGAATCATGCAGGAGAAAATTACAGGCTCCGTCTGATGTTCCTGATGCTCTGGGATGTAGAAACCCAGGACAGAATGTGTAGTATTTCCTTGGTGAAGCGTGACGTGTGTTTGCTTTCTCTCTGTTGTTCTGGGCTTTAATCTGATGCAGACTCAGCACTGGGCGTCAGGATTAGTTCTCCGAGTCCTCCAACATCTGTGTGACATTAGGAAAGATACCCGTGCTCTTATCAGCAGCATGTGACGCCGGCAAACTTTGAGTTTGTTTAGTGCCAGTTTAATGCTTGTTTAACAGCAGCAGTTAAGCTGTTTGCTGTACATGCAGAGTTGAATCGTGTGTATGTGGGTGATCATATATGTCGTGTGATGTCATAATAATGAGTTTCAGTAAATGGTCTTGCTTTGAAGGCCTTTTACTCTGCAGCTAATGTGTGTAAAGAAGATGAACCAAACAACTACGGTTTCCATTGAAATAAAAGTATTTTATCTACAGTTCATAAAGCCTAACCAAACATCAGAAAGCACTTTATTTGCTAAGTACGATCACAAGACTCACATTTGTTTTGGTTTACAAGAGCTCTGAGCACTTGCATAAATAATATGCAAGAAGATGCATAACAAGTAGTCTCACAAAGCCTCGTCTGAGCCTCAGACGACAAACCTGTGCACTAAACGTCTGACGCTTTCTGCATGCACAACAGGAAAGTGCTTTCTCAATCTAGTAAGCACTGATCTGATTGGCCGAATTTACTTTTATTTTGTCAGGCTGTCTGGAAACAAAGTCATGTTTACAAAGTAGCAGGTTGATAAGCACTTATGAAGAAGAAACAATCATCAGAGCATTTAGAAACACGAAAGATGCATAAAGTCAATCAGATTTAAAGTTTACTAGTAAAAGTCAACTAAACAAACCTTTACAAGTGTGTGCACATTGTGTAAAGAAAATATCCTAGTAAAAATTCCTTCATTTTGAACAGACAAATATTTAAAGGTTGTATCTTCTCTGTGTTCTCTGCAGGACCCATCAGTGACACAAGTAACGCGGACTGCCCCACCTGGAGGCCTGGAGGAGTATAACCCTTTCACAGACTCCAAGCCGGTGAGACGCCCAGAACACAAACTGACACTTATGAGATGCTGTACAATTGGCACAACTTATTGTGTACAAAATTAACAGGTGTGCAAGTTTTCTGTGGACGGTAAAAATTAAACAGGTCTAAAATACCATCTGCCAAAACACTGTCTGGCCATCTGTGTTTGAGTGCTTTTTTTACATACAGTATACTACTATACTTATAGATTTCAAACAGTATAATGCTACAGCAGGGATAGGCAACGTCGATCCTGGAGTGCCACTGTCCTGCAGAGTTTAGCTCCAACCCTAATCAAACACACCTGAGCAAGCTAATCAATGTCTTCACCCCTAAAATATCCCTGTGCTACAGTGTTGTCACCTCATTATGTTCACTTATTCAACTCAGAAATAAATTCACTATAAAAAAAGGATTTTGTAAATAAAATGATTGGAATACATTTTACTCGAAAATATGGTCAAGCTCTAGATTAGGGTCGAATTCTCAGTTTTTACAAACTATTAAAGGTATTGTAGGTATGAATTTTATAAAAAAAACTTTTTTCCAAATTTGTTTAAACTTTCTGTATATATCAATGCATAATTAAAATGTAAGTACTCTGAAAAAGAAAGCATAAAAATCGAGTGTCTGTAGACCTCTCACGACTGTTTTTAAAGGGATACTCCACTTTTTTTGGAAATAGGCTAATTTTACAACTCCCCCAGAGTTAAACTGTTGAGTTTTACCGTTTTTGAATCCATTCAGCCGATCTCCGGTTCTGGCGGTACCACTTTTAGCATAGCTTAGCATACATCATTGAAGTGGACAAGACCATTAGCATTTCTAAAAAAAAAAATGACCAAAGAGTTTCGATATTTTTCCTATTTAAAACTTGACTCTTCTGTAGTTACATCGTGCACTAAGACCGACGGAAAATGTAAAGTTGCGATTTTGTAGGCTGATATGGCTAGGAACTATACTCTCATTCCTGCGTAATAATCAAGAAACTTCACTGCCGTACCATGAGTGCAGCAGGCGTAATGATATGACGCAGCGCCTGAAAATAGTTCCGTTGTGTTGACGGAAGGTGGCCTATTTTCAGGCGCTGCGTCATATCATTACGCCTGCTGCACTCATGGTACGGCAGTGAAGTTTCTTGATTATTACGCAGGAATGAGAGTATAGTTCCTAGCCATATCAGCCTAGAAAATCGCAACTTTACATTTTCCGTCGGTCTTAGTGCACGATGTAACTACAGAAGAGTCAAGTTTTAAATAGGAAAAATATCGAAACTCTTTGGTCATTTTTTTTTTTAGAAATGCTAATGGTCTTGTCCACTTCAATGATGTATGCTAAGCTATGCTAAAAGTGGTACCGCCAGAACCGGAGATCGGCTGAATGGATTCAAAAACGGTAAAACTCAACAGTTTAACTCTGGGGGAGTTGTAAAATGAGCCTATTTCCAAAAAAAGTGGAGTATCCCTTTAAGACAGCTCATTATTTCCATTCACTCCACCCCCTCCCTTCTGGGCTCCTTCCAAAGCCACGCCCCAAAAACACATGAACGCGCGACTCCGACCGCTGAGCTGAAGACGCATTATTTCCCTGAGACGAGTGGAGAGGAAGGAGCAGTGCATGTGGTGACATCATGTCAGAATCACATGTAATAAAAAAATCTAACTTTATCATTATGAAGATAAACAAATAAGATGTATTTTAGTACTCACTATCAAGCTAGCATATTGATATTGGTAAAGTTTAAAATATATATTTATTGATTCGCTAACGAGCTAGTTATCTATAAGGCAAAGCTAAAAACAGGTTGCATGATACACGTTTTTCCATTGCCATCATTTACACTGTGATGAAGATGAATTTCGTGTAAGATTCATAACATAGCTATATGGTGTTCTGCATGTAAGAGTTTCCATGATGAAAGCATTGTCGACTCTGATGAGGACTACACTCCAGAGACGAGTACCGCATCGTCAGCTCGAGGACAGATCCGCGGTCGAGGGCGAAGCAGAGGAGGTCATCACAAGGCGTCACTTTTCAGCCCCTTGAGGTCTCTCAGTTCTCGCCATCGATGGAAAGCCACGCCGATATTGACACGCATTTTATTTAGTTGTTTATCCAAAGACTTTTTGTTCATTACCTTTTCTAGTAACGTTACTGTCTTCCTTTTTTGCCTGGTTTGCCTTCGCGAACTGCATATGTGAATTTTGATTGGTCTTTCTCTGCCATTGTTTTGCTATTCCTAGGTTCCGTGCCTCTTGAATTCCTCAAATCAAACGGGTACGCGCAAGTGGGCAGGTCCTGTGTGGTAGAAGGGTGGTTGCCATGGTTACGAGAGAGTGACAGTCGCCTAAGCCAATCCGTTGTTTCGTCCCGGAAGGAAATAATGAGCTGTGTTTAGTGCAGATTAAACGGTCTAGAGTCACTCGATTTTTATACTCTTTTTATCAGAGTACTTACATTTTAATTATGCATTGATATATACAGAAAGTTTAAACAAATTTGGAAAAAAGTTTTTTTTATAAAATTCCTACCTACAATACCTTTAACTACGATTTTTGCCTCAAACTCCTAATTACTGCTTATTAATTTTTTTTAGAAAGGTAGTCGTTAAGTTTAGGTATTTGGTAGGAGGATTAAGGGATGTAGAATATGGTCATGACTCATGCTGAATAAGGCATTAAAGGATTAGTTCACTTCAGAATTAAAATTTCCTGATAATTTACTCACCCCCACGTCATCCAAGATGTTCCTGTCTTTGTTTCTTCAGTCGAAAAGAAATTAAGGTTTTTGAGGAAAACATTCCAGGATGTTTCTCCATATAGTGGACTTCAATGGGGTCCAACTGGTTTGAAGGTCCCAATTTCAGTTTCAATGCAACAGCCGGATCCCAGCCGAGGAATAAGGGTATTATCTAGCCAAACCATCAGCCATTTTCTAAAAAAACATTTATATACTTTTAACCACAAATTCTTGTCTTGCACTAGCTCTGCGATGCGCCATGCATTCAGAATTGAAATACTTTATAAGTACTGATAAAGAGCCAATATCCTAGTAATATGCATGCTAATAAGCAACTAAAGTGTTACTGAAAATGCGATTTCATTTTGTGAGCAAACAAACAATGAGTCCGCACAGAGAATGTGGCTGATGTTCATTTCTTTCATCATGCTGATTTCTAAAGTATATGAGTAGTATATTTTTTCTGAACATAAGCAGGAAACCGAAAGAGAGAGATACAGACAAGGAAATAAACAAGCAAAAACATAATTCACGGTGTGGTATAACTAGTGAAGCTGTACAAGCGTAGGGCTCGCTGCCCAGAACAGCCCACACTCTCAGCTCAAACCCGTCAGTTGGTTTTTATATTACATTTTATTTCCCTTTCCTTAATTGTGAACATGCATTGCTTAATTTCTGAATGATCCATTCAAAACACCGGCAAACACATTCAGACAGTCTGGATTTATGAATGAAAGGAAAGGATGTTATGTTGATATTGTGTGTGTTGTGGTTAAGATGAAATTGTGTGGTGTTTTGTAAGATGTTTTGTGTCTCACATTTTATATTGTGGCATTATAGGTTCCACCAGGCTCTGCCCCTAAATCAGTCCCGCCCACAACCAACACACAGCCGGCCATCATGAAACCCACTGAAGAACCGCCAGCTTACACTCAGCCTCAGCAGACACAGGTACATGCACCTCATTTTATTTTCTATTTCATTAACTTAATACACTTAAAATTCGAAGAATTGCAGCCAAATGGGTTTCAAAGTAGAAATGTGAAGCTTGCATTCTTATAAAAGTTGTCTAAATCATCCGTTTGAGATGGCACTAATGTTCTCAGGTGAGGAACAGTGCTTTATATAGAGAGTTGCTTCATGTCCCTTTCGGATATTGCTATGTTTAGGTTAAGGCTGTACGATTTGGGGGGAAAGCATTGCTATTTTAAAGTTGTTGTTTTTTAAAGTTCCTGGTTTGCACTGCTTGTTTTGCACATTATAAGTGAACTCAACTGTGAAAACAATGGTGGATCATGAGCTACTCGCGTATAAAAGAACACAGTGCCACACTTTATTCTGAAACACGCAGCGCATGTATTTAATTAAAACGCAGTCTTTGTAATTTGATAATCTCACTCAAAAGCCATTTCACGATTTATTTCAATTGATCATGCAGCCTTAAGTGTGATGGTTATATAAGTCATCTATTGTAAGTGTAGTAGGCTACTTTAAACATGTTTCCTGTTCATTTATACACACTGAGACAAGCCTAAATTATTTTATACTGTAATTGACTGCATAAAGTTGAGTATTCAAGTAGAGGATTGATTGTGGACTCTCTGAAGTCCTCTAAAACCTTAAACCCAACTTTTGGGTCCATGTGAAGCAGAACCCCTGATACAAACCTTGTTATCAGAGGGTTTTCAGCATCAAATCCTTCTTGATTTCACAGAAATGTTCACCCAAATGCTCAGTAGGTCAACAGAAGCTTCCAGCAGGCAAGAGCTCGAAGCCGGTCTGCTCACGAGTGCAGTTATGCTGTATAATTCAGCACGCCTGAGGGAGAAGGGATGCCACGCTCTAGACATATGGACACGCAGACACACTTTGGGTGTGCATCAGATGACTCACTAGCTCCCGCTCTGTGTGGTGACGTCAGATGCTTTGAGTTAGGACACAACAAGGTGATCCGGGGCGAGTCAAAACTTGCTGTTATTCGTCTCAGTGTCTGTCGCTGTAGTCTTTAGTGTGCCGTTTGCAGCGAAGACTAGTTCAGCCTCAGGGTGACAACAGAAGGCTTGTTAAAGAACTTGTTGCCCACTGGCTTGATTAAGCCAGGCGTGTCACATGATGCTGCCTTCAGGGAAAGCTGGGGATTTCTGAGCCCTTAAAATGACCCAGAAACAAGGACAGTATGCATCAACAGATTGGCTCTGAGTGATTCTTAAAATTATAATCTGGGACGCTGCTGTAAATGATTGCAGAATGTGTTGCAGCTTCAAGGCCCATGTGTGGTTGGGACTTTATTTTTGGTTAAAGGTCACCTGACTGTCTCAGTCATTTCAGCACAGACTTTACATGCCGAAGGTTTAGGGATTTTGAAAATTGTCCATTTTCAGTATAGAAAGTGCAAACAATATACTCTCTCATACCACACAATATTCACCACAACCAGTTCTGTTTATGGAAGTAGAAGCTTGAAATGTTCAGTCCGGATATATATTTATAACCAGCCAAAAGTCAAGTATATCTCACCAGCGGTGTCGACTCTAAAATAATCATTAAGGTGAGTGGCTGATCAAAACATTTCAACTTCATCGCTGGGATTCGATGATTTCCTGTCTCTGATGCTGGGTGTTTTTATATTGTGACTGGTGGTTTAATTTGGTAATCTGATGTAGTTTCTGATAATAATAGTAAACGTGATGTTATATTGCGTTACTGTACTGAAAAGATGTGCATTAAATACCTGTATTGATATTAAATCAATTTTATATTAAATATTAAAATAAAATAAAACAATGGCATGAAGCTTTTAAGTATTTTACAATTAAACAGTGCATTTTCAAGTAATTATTCAAATCTTTATTAATTTTTTGAGCAGCAAATCAGCATATTAGAATGATTTCTGGAGTAATGATGCTGAAAATTCAGCTTTGATCACAGGAATAAATTACATTTTAAATATATATATATTCAAATATGATAATTTAAATAAAACAGTTATTTTAACTTGTAATAATATTTCACAATATAACAGTTTTTACTGTATTTTTATTAAATAAATGCAGCCTTGGTGAACACAGGAGACTTTTTTTAAAAACTTTTGAACGTTGTAGCTTTACACACTTTGTTTGAGGTCAGCTGTACCACTGTAATCAGTTATGATATGGGTTGACATTCAAATTTACAGTGTGTAACGAAGATATACCATGAATTAAAAGGAGAAGACTTCCATTGTCTTCCCTCACGGGTCTGAATCTGATGTGTTTGTGATTGGTTCTGACAGCTGTAAACAGTCTGAGAAAATGCTTTTGGATTCTGATGCGTGTTGTGATGATGTTAACTGTCCTGAAGTTATGTTCTACTGTGCCTATGAGGAGTATTTGTGTTTTGTGTTTATAACCTCCTTTGTCTTTGTGCATGTAGGATCAGGCACGAGCCCAGGCGGAGTTATTGAGGAGACAGGAGGAGCTGGAGAGAAAAGCAGCTGAGCTGGACCGCAGGGAGAGAGAGATGCAAACTCTCAATGCGTCAGGAGGTGAGTTATTAGCCGCGCGTCAAGCCTGGTCCATGCTGTTCAGCTTATTCTGCTCAGACAGGAAGTTACTGACATGTGAAGCAACCTCATATTATATACAGTTGTGGTCAGAATTAATGGCACCCCTGGTAAATATGATAAAAAATGGCTGTAAAAAATAAATCTGCATTGTTTATCCTTTTGATCTTTCATTAAAAAAAATCCCAAAAATCTAAACTTTCATTGAAGTAAAAGAAATGAAAGTGGGGGGTAGATCACATTACTCTATATAATAACAAAGTCCTTTTAGGCAAGTCCTGCCACTCGGCTGCCATCTTGGCAACGCCTCCGGGCAGCTATTTCGGACTAACAAGACCAGGCTCCTATCTAAATGAATGGGCAGAGAGTCAGAACTGCAGTTTCACTGGTCACCGGGACATAAAAACTGCATGTATAGAAACAGCAGTAAAATATGAAAAAAATCGCTGAAAAAGTTTGATGACTTAAATAAGGTTTAAAATGCCCTTTTCCCCATAGGTTATACTTTTACTACGCATGCGCAAGGGTTCTCTCCCTCTCTCTCGTGTGTGCGCTACACAGTTTGAAGCACAGTTTGTGCGCGCTCTTGCTCGCTCGCTCTAGATTCCGGGAGATTTTAACTAATTTGCGGGCATCAGGGAGCCGCTATCAATCTGCGGGAGACTCCCGGAACTTCTGGGAGACTTGGGATGTCTGATATTTACACAACTCACACATACACTGCATATCAAATCTGCCGCCTTTTCAGACAGTAACGTATTTTGCGCTGTCGCAAACCTCAACTGTGCGCATGCGTCAGTGGAACCGGACGATAGGCTTAAATGTTTCCCGGCTTGACTGTTAAAAGCAGACGATTGGCTTTCCAGCGGGAGGGGCGGGACATGTGCAGACAACCGCCATCTTTGGCGTTACGGGTTTTCCCTATATAGTTATATTAAGGATTGAGGAAGTGGCATGTCTCTATATAAATAGTCTCTGATAATAACCACCACTGTATATATATTAAAGGTCCAGTGTGTGATTTTTAGCGACATCTAGCGGTTCGGTTGCGAGTTTACACTAAGGGCTCAGCCCACCGCTCACCCCTCCCTTTCAAAGAAGCTACGGTGGCTAAAACGGGACAAACATCGTCGTCTAAGACAGCAGAGAATAGCCAGCATAAACCAAGTTTCTGTACCACAGTCCATTATAAACCACATCATGGATAAAATTTCAGTTGAGGATCAAGGGTCTTAATATATAATATAATAATAGTAATCAGCTGATTGTCTCACGAATGTAACCAGCACATTTCTCCCCACATAGCAAACCCATAATATAGCGAGGAAGAAGCACCACATGAAACTATGCAACTATATATTTTTTCTAACAGGGTAGTAAAAGTTTAGCTGGCTAATATGAGCTGTTACTGTGGCTGAGCTGGTTAAAGCGTAAAGCCTTGTTTATACTCGCCGCGTCCGCGTGAGCCCAAAGGTGCGCCCGGCAGAAATGACGTGATTGTAACAGCGCGCGCTCCTCCGCATCCCCTAGACACCATTTACTACACACACAATAGGCGTTTTTTCTCTGATTTTGGAAACTCGATCGACTTAAAATGCTTCCAAGATCGACGGGTTGGTGATTCCTGTAACTGTTTTACAGTCAAGGACAAGAGTAGCCTACTAATCAGCTGTCTCACGAACTTAACCAGCACATGTATCCCCACAGCGAGGGAGAAGAATTAAGTTACATGAAACAATCCAACTACATATTTACACCACTGACAAGGGAAAAGTCACTACTCACGGTGTTTATGAGTAGCTTCTTCTAGCTTCCTGCGGCTTCTCTTTCAAGGTAGTGACGAAACGCGCTCTGTAGCGCTGTGTGTTCGCGTTCGGCTACTGTAGAAACATGACGTCACAATATGGCGACCTTCATAGAAGGGGGTGCCCGCGGTTATGTAGATATAAATCCCTCTTTCTAAGGCAATAAAAACATTACAGTTTATTAAGTAAGTTCTTTATACACCACCGAACACATAGTTATGGATGTCATATTGCATTTCTGTTAATAAATACTCAAAAATGTTACACACTGCACCTTTAATGTGTGCTTGTGTGCATATTACAATTTCTCAAAAAAGCTCTTGTACATACATTAGCATATTATGTAGATACACTAGTCTTTATTTGATCAAAAGTGACAGTAAAGACATTTATAATGTTACGAAAGATTTTCATTTCAAATGAATGCGGTTCTTTTGAACTTTCTATTCGTCAAAGAATCCTGAAAAAAAGCATCACGGTTTCTACAAAAATATGAAGCAGCACAACTGTTTTCAGCATTGATAATAATAAGAAATGTTGGTAACACTGCCTTTGTTTAATGCATTGTATAGGTATTCATAATGTACATAATGCATTATATGTTTTTCATAAATAATTTTAACCAAAGTTAAAATGCATTATAATATTAGCAGATTCCTTGTTGCATCTGAAATTTGTTATGTATGTTTTAATGCATCATACTATACTTGAATTAATAGATAAGTATGCTAATGTATTATAACTGTGGTTAAAATTATTCATGAGATCATACAATGCATTAAAAGGTGCATTACAAGGCAAAATGTATGCGTTTTTAAATAATGCATAATACATAAAGACTTTAAGTGTTACTCAAATGTTTAATGAGCTGCAAATTCAGCTTTGCCATCACAGTTCTATTTTAAGCAACATATGGGGCAGGTTAAATTTATATATTCAGAATTCAGCATAAAATCTGACTCGGTGTGTGTTCACACATGGCAGGTTTGATCTGGGTAAAACCAACTCTAGTGCAATTGCTCTATTAGTGCGGTTCATTTGAATATATGTGAACACTGCCATCTGAACCCTGGTGCACACCGTCCTAGACCCCTGAAAATACAGGTCTCGGTCCACTTCCAAACCAAGTCTGGGGTGGTCTGACTGAAATATGGATGCAACACGGACCAAAGACATCTAAACGAACCAAAAACAGGATGTGATGTCACAAGATGCGACCCTAAAAAGGACAGAATGCTCAAGCATACTCACTATAGGAGCTACATTGTCCATCACCGTTCGGTACATCAGATCTTTCTTTGTGTGTGTAGTGGAGGAATTCCTGGTGCTATTTTGACTCCTTTACACATTTAACAAGCTCTACACGAATTCTCAGTGGATAAAATTATCATCATATGTACGGACATACAACGAGCACATTTAGCGCAGCTCACAGCATTGTTTTAGATGGTTGGCAAGTTCTGACGCAAAATACACATCATAAAAGCTATTATTTTTGTTTGTTTGTTTTGTGTCTTTAGGTTCGGTCTTAAAACTGGCAGTGTGAATGCAGTCCTTTCCCCCCCCTCATTTTCTATTTTGATCTGGAACAAAAGAAGCAAGAGAACTGAACTAGATTGGCTTAATCTGACCGAAATTGCATAGAAGTCAGCAGATGAATAATTTACATTACCGTTCTGTTGCATCTGTCCCCCAGTTAACCACATTTTGTCATCATGCTCATGTTGCATCATCTACCTCCTCCTTTCAATTTTAAATAGCTTTTTCTTGTTTCTAAGGGAGGAAAAACAACTGGCCGCCTCTTCCAGAGAAGTTTCCAGTGGGTCAGTGTTTCTATCATGACATATCGGTGGACATACCCGTGGAGTTCCAGAAAACCGTCAAGATCATGTACTATCTCTGGATGTGTGAGTATCCCTCGGCCAATCCCATAATGCCAGCAGTCCAAAAACAGCTGCCAAACTGAAACCAAACATGCTGTCTATGAAGGCTAGACAACAGAGGCCAAGTAGGAGTCTTAATGGTACAGTAACAAAAAAAGCCTGTTTAATTATATAGCTCAGGCAAAAGGTGGAAAATATTCATTAAGTGCTAAAATCTTTTTAAAATATGTGCTACAAAAGTGTAGAATAAGATGATTTTAACTGGCTCACATACTTGAGTACACATCTGCTCTGTTTGGGAAGTTTATAGGTGTATGTAATAATAGTGTAAAGGCTTTAAAGATTAACTTTATAGTAGGGCTGTCAAATGATTAATCGCGATTAATCGCATCCAAAATAAAAGTTTGTGTTTACATAATATATGTGGGTGCACTGTGTATAATTATTTTATACATAAAAATACACACACATGCATGTATATTTAAGAAAAAAAATATTATTTATATATAAAATATTTATATTTATATATAATACAAATTATATATGAATCTATATACAGTATATACATGAAAATATTTCTTTAAATATATACAAGCATGTGTGTGTATTTATATTTATATATATATATATATATATATATATATATATATATATATATATATATATATAAAATAATTATACACAGTGCACCCACATATATTATGTAAACACAAATTTTTATTTTAGATGCGATTAATCATTTGACAGCCCTACTTTATAGACTTCAGGACCGTTTGTGCCTCCCAGAGAAACTGGTGAGGTAATTGACTCCTATTTGATGAGTTTCATACTGGATGAGATCAGTCACATGGTATTAGACATGCAAGGGATGTATCATGTGATTTGAGGTATCATGTGACTAGTATCATCAGACTGGACTTTAAATTGGTCCTGACCTTGTTGTGTTGGAATTTGGGAGGGAATTGGGCAGAGACAGGGAGACCTGAGTTATTTGTGCAGTAAATGTGCTGAACGAACTGTAAGGTATTTTCTCACTCTCTGGTAAAACACTGCCAAATTCCACACCAAAACTGCAGTTGTAGACGGACTTTGTGACTCAATTTGAAAGCATTTTCCATGAATAGGAAATAATTGCGCCCCCATTATGATTATAATTTATTTAATTTTTTTAGCAGCAGCAGTAAAGGCAATCTCATGTTCTCACCTCAGAAGCCTTGACCTTCTCGACTGTGTGTATACCACAATTAAATTATCATGTCATAATTTAACAATTTGTTGAATTTATATTCTGCATATTTTCTATTAAAAACAATGAATCATTCTTTATAATTGTGATTGCCACAAAGGGACATAATTTGTAGGAAATAATCTGATGACACTTTACCATAAAGTCAGATTTGTTAGTATTAGCTAACATGAACTAACAATGAGCAATATATACACTTGCATTCAAAGTTGGCGTCGGTAAGAGTTTTTGAACGAAGGCTCTTCTGGTCACCAAGACTGCATTTATTTGATCCAAAATATAGTATAAACTGTGAAATATATTACTATTTAAAATGTAAATGTTAATATATGTTGAAATGTAATTTATTCCTGTGATCAAAGCTGTATTTTCAGCATCATTACTCCAGTCTTCAGTGTCACATGATCCTTCAGAAATCACTCTAATATGATGATTTGATGCTCAAGAAACATTTCTGATTATTATTATTATTAATAATGTTGAAAACTGCTTGATATTTTTGTGGAAACTGATCATTTTTAAGGATTCTCTGTTGAATAGAAAGTTCAAAAGAACACCATATTAATGTCTTTAGTGCCACTTTTAATCATTTTAATGCATCCTTGCTGAACTAAATTACCACGAGCTTAAGTGTTACCAATAATCTCATTCAGTTTTCTCAATATGCAAACCTCATATAAAATAAATACAGAATAAAATAGCTAGATAAATGTTAAGTTTGATCTCTTGAGGTATATGATCAACATTTTCTGACGGTCATGTTGAAAGAAAAAACTTTTTGTATGTGTGTGTGATTGGTATTGATGTAAAATGCCTGGATGTGTAGTTGATTACAGCAGGAGGATTCCCTGTGAATGAGGGCTTATGAATACACTCTGGCTCTGCTTTAGATTATATAAATGATCAAACAGTCTGGTTTTGAACTCTTCTATTAATGGAGCAACTTCTGAGTGACTTTGAAAAGGCTTTGCAATGATTCTGTTAATATAACAGAGATGGTGAATGTTTAGACCACTTTAATTATTAACAGGTTCTTGGATAAAAACATTCATACAAATTATAAGTGTTTGTTTTTATTTGATTTAAAGCATTAAAGGGTTAGTTCACCCACGAATTAAAATTATCCCTTAATGTACTCGCCCTCAAGCCATCATATAGGTGTATATGACTTTCTTCTTTCAATCAAACACAATCAGAGTTATATTAAAAAATAATTGCAAAGATTCAACAGTTTTGTGCAAGCAGAGCTTTATAGTGAATTTTTCCCACCACATTATGTTCTATAAAAATAACACATGGTCTCTTATCTCATGTTATTCTCTTGCAGTCCACACGGGGACGCTGTTTGCAAATATATTTGGCTGTTTGTCGTGGTTCTGTGTAGATGCGTCGAGGGGAGTGGATTTTGGTCTGGCTATGCTTTGGTTTATGCTGTTTACACCCTGTTCTTTTGTCTGCTGGTACAGACCCCTGTATGGAGCGTTCAGGTACACACACACACACACACACACACACACACACACACACACACAGTACCGTTGTGGAGAGTTAAGATTATAACCATTTTCTCTTTCTTTCTCTCTGAAGGAGTGACAGCTCTTTTAGGTTCTTTGTGTTCTTCTTCGTCTATATCTGCCAGTTTGGTGTCCATGTGCTGCAAGCCATTGGCATTGCAGGTTGGGGAGCCAGGTGAGAAAACACACACACACACACACATATATGTATAAGTGTATATTTATATATATATATTCTCTCTCTGCTCTGAAAACGCTACAAAATTACAATTTTACAACTTCAAACAGTAAATGGATAAAAACTTAATCAAACATAGTGACTGAATAATTATTAAAAATGGCTCATAACAGTGTTTATTGTATTTATGTATTTTGTGGATTATTTACAGCTACATTTGAATTATAATTTTTATGTAAGAATCATAATTCTTCACATTGCTAATTTATGTCATTTAATTTGTTCAGATGAAGTGTGTTTAATTTTTATGAGTAAAAAAACAGAAATTACCCCCCATAAAGGGCAATTTGCCTTTGAATATTGGCTAATATTGATCTATATAATTGTTTTTTATTATTATTTCAGACAGACTCTTGTACCATCTTTACATTGTTGCATCATAAACTATGTGATAAGATGACTGATGGTGTGTGTGTGTTTGTAGTGGCTGGATCTCTGCGCTGACCTGTCTGAACACGAGTGTTCCCGTCGGCATCATCATGATCCTGATTGCCGCCCTCTTCACCGCGTCGGCTGTCATGTCTCTCATCATGTTTAAAAAGGTGCTTCACCTTAAACACTAAACTCACATCGTATTAATATAATATTTGCTTCACCTCAAATGCACCCACTTGGACATGAACCATAACAGTGTTATTGTTAACTACATAAAATGTAAACTGAAATAAAATAAGTTTGAGTTGAAGTACTAAAATGGCTAAAACTAAGACTGAAATAAAATAAATGTAAGTTAAATTGAAACAAAAAAATATAAAATCACTAAAACTTAAACTAAATAAATTAAATAAATAAAGATATAAAAATAGAAGCTGTAAATATAAAAAAAGAGCTATTTGAATGTTTTTAATTAAACTATAAATTAAAATGAAAACTGAAAATATATTTTTTTAAAGCTAATTCAAAATGTTCAATTAAAATGAACACTGAAAAACATAAAAATAAAATCTAATTAAAAAAATAAAATCTAATTAAAAATGTTAAATTGATATGCAAATTAAAATGAAACCTGAAAATATAATTGATATATAAATACTATAATAGTATAAAGATAATACTAAACATAACCACATTAAAAATCTTTCAGATTAAAGGATTTGTAATTGGGTTTTCATTTTTCCTGTTATTTAATTTTTATCAGGTTAGTTGTTTTAAGTACCTACATATAGGCGGAGTTACAGTATGTACAGTAGAATCAACCGTATGTGTGTTTATTTGCAGGTCCATGCGATGTACCGAACCACCGGCGCCAGTTTCGAGAAGGCGCAGCAGGAGTTCGCCACCGGCGTCATGGCCAACAAGACGGTGCAGACGGCCGCCGCTAACGCCGCCTCCACTGCAGCCCGGGGAGCCTTCAAAGAGCAGATCTGATTGGTTCAGAGAACTTCGAGTCCATCTGTGATACTCTGACCCCGCCCTCCTTATTCCTCCTAATGTCCTTACAGCCATTCGTCAGCTCTAACTGGCTGCTCAAGACCACACCCACTCTCATTGACTTAATGCACTCCTGTGACTGACTGAGGCCCCGCCCACAGCCCCTCCCCTCCTGTTCTTTAGCTGGAGTGTGTGTGTGTGTGGAGCACCTGTCTGCTCTCGAGCGTGTGTGTAAACAGCCTAAAAAGAGTCACTTTATATGTTCACATCACTGTTGGGTGTTCGTCCGTTTGTCCCGTTAAACAACAGGAAGTGATGTCATCAAAATGTCCTTTTATGGGATTCAAGGATAAAAAGAATGATTATGCCCTCGCAGGTCTGTCTTACCGTCGTAAAATGAGCGCTCTCACACAGTCATGCAAGTCCAGGTCACAATTAATCTCAAAATCAAAAGAAAATAAGAAAATTACGTCCATTTAAGGTGACAAAAAGCATTTAAATACCCATTTCTTTGCATTACCAAAATGCAACAAACAAAAAAAATCAGTTTTTCATAATGCAAATGCCGTTTGCAAACTTTTTTTTTCATTAAAAACTTTTTTTTTGCTTTACTTTGGTTTTTGGGCTATAACATGACCTTTTCTTAGCGAGATTCTCCCAACTATCCTGCAAATGAGCCATCAGTACATGAAGACGCCCATCAGATGTGACCGTAAACGCTCCACACGCAACTCAGAGGGTCTCTTCACCTGTAAATATATAAATATATATATAAACAAACCTGTATGATGACATAAAGTATTGACTGATTTTAACCATATGAATGATTCTGAGGCTTTCTGGTTTCTTTTTCTTTCTAATAGAGTTGTTTTGGAATGGAAACTAATTGTTAAAAGCGTGAACCACTCAGGATACGTTCCTGCACATGCATGGGAAGCTTGCCGGGCCGAGGATCATCACCTCTCCCAGTCTAACATGCATTGGGATAAACTGGAAAACACTTTTAAAATCACACTTTTAAATCACGCCCCCAAACCGCATCTCGCTAACGACACGTCACATTTATCCTGCAGATGTGTGTGTAAGACTGTGCCGCGCTGGGCCGTCCCGAGGTTGGATCCTTAATGGTTGTTCTGATCATGCCGTCATTGTCTGCGTAGAGTTTGTTTTCCTCTCTTTCTTTTTTTATTGAACCTTGTAGCCTTGGTTACTGTCACCAAGAGACAGCCAAGTTTTGCGATTATGGGAAATGCATCAAGATGGAAATTAATCTTAACCTTTCAGCAACACTCTGTGTGTGTGTGTGTGTGTGTGTGAACAAACTGTGTGTTCATCACCTGTTTTCAGTATTGAGTTTGCATCCGCCTTGGTTTGAAGTCTGACACATTTTGCTTAATTTATAACTTATAAAGGAATAGTCCTCCGAAAATGACTCATGGGTGAACTATTCCTTTTTTTCTTTTCTTAATATGTCCCTTATTTTGTCATCTTATTGAGTGTGTGTCAATTTTTGAATCTTTTTTTCACTCATGTACGGTTCTCTGAGTATGTGCGAGTTACTGCAAGTCGTTCTTCCTTTTATAAATGCATTTCAACAAATGGCACCTGAATGTTCCTCTCTTTTGGTTTGTTTTGAAATGCTTTCATTAAAAACCAGAAAAAACCCACAAGAATCTGTTGGGAGCGACGTGACCTCTTGTGTGTGATGCAATGGATCGTGGCTTTAAGCTGTCTTTTTTAAATTAGTGATGTTAGCTAACTTAGTTGAAACACTGATACGTGAGATGAATCGAAGAAAACCCATCACGTGTTGTACTACTGCTACTCTGACATTATTTAAAACAGACTCGAGGGATATTTGTATATTTTCTATTACTAAAGGAACGGTGGCCTGTCGTCCTGAATTTCATTGTACTGTACAAATGCACTCCTGTCTCGCTCCCTTAGTCGCATGTTGAGTAGTTTGAGTTTTGTATATTTATTGTAATAACACAAAAATCAAATAAAAAACAACTACATAACCCATGTGTCTCGTTTATTATATAATGATTTTCAGTTCTTTTGCACTGTTATATTTGTATATATTTGATTATTCATGTTCAACGTTTGGGAAGTCATATTAAAGAGTGCTTACCTGGAGAAAAATAAAATATTGCATACATTTTTCAATAAGTTCTGTAACTATCATTGTTATTAAAACAATTGTTAATAGTAAAAAGGCTAAATACATATTTTTTTTCAGATGATTAGGCAGTTTTTTAATATATACACATTAATAAACTTTTTATTTATAGGCTACAGATATAACTCTGTAACATATTCATAAAATGTTGTATGTTATGTCATAAGAAAACGTGCAGAAGGGTGAATATTTTCAATCTTAAATTGCATCTCTTTTGCTTTTGGTGAAATTCGGATACCGCATTTTCTTGAACTTGTTGATTTCACATTTCTCTTGAATAAATGGATGTTAATCAGTAATACCTGCCCATCCTAGACGATCAATCAAAAGCTTTACCCAATATTGTTCTCTCAGTATTTATGCAATACACTCAAAAATTATAGCAAATGTAATCATAAACACTAAAGACCTGACTTAATGTTACGCAAAGCTCCAAAATCTTCTTGTACAGAAACGAAATAGGCTATAGGCCGCCTATAAACACGCTTTTGCACAATCATCTAATGTTCAATGTTTCCTAATTTTACATACACTTTAAACACCGTTAAGATTAAAATCCATTTAAAAAAATATGAAGTGAGGTAAAAAAAAGAAAAGAAAAAGATTGTACCGTTTAAACACAGTTTCGTGTTTCGTGTGAGACAGGCTTCGTCCTCCAGAGGGCGCGCGCGGTTTCGATGGTTCAGAAAGCTGCATTATATACAGTTTCAGGGCGTTTTTTTGTCTTATTGCAGGCATTTGCTCAATAAAACGTATAATCGTTTTGATATATTAACTCAAAATATTAAAATTAAGATGTTATAAAAGTAAATCACACCTGATGGAATCAGCTAAACCAGCGTTGAGAAAAGTAACAGTGTCACGTGATAGTCTATCTATGTTACGTTTTATCTGCGAATACTATCATTGAGAAATTTTAATATGCATTTACTTGAAAAATACACAGTAAAGAGTTAAAAGAAAAAGAAACATTTAGACCCATCATGCCTGACCGCTAAATCCGTCAGGACTAAAACACATACTTTTTTCTCTCAGTAGAGGGCGATAGATTTACATTTATTCAGGTTTTTAACACCCTCCCAAAGTTGAGAACAAACATTTTAAAACTAATTAGAAATTATATTAGGCTTTTCAAATAACTATTATATTTTTCTTATCTATAAACGTGTATTTAGATCAAAACAGCCACATTTTACCTTTACATTTCATTTATATTTATTCAGGTTTTGCACCCACCCAAAGTTGGGAAGATTTTAAAACTGATTAGAAATTATTATCTATATATCTATTAAGTAGCCCATTAAAATACCTGTACATGCATTGGAATTATTATTTTATTTATGTGATATTATCTATTTATGTGATGAATCTATATATATGTGATATATCTATCGATACCAGGACGCAGAAAAAATGACTACAGGAAAAGGAGAAATTTCCCCGCATAATTTGACTGTAAAATGAGTCACACCTTGCTTACCTGCGCGATCACGTGATCGCCGAGGAATGAGTTGCAGTCTTGGAGTGTGTCGGTTCAAAAAGGAAAGGGGGAGGAAAAAAAGAAAAGAAAGCAAGCCTCCTTCCATCATCCTAGTGTGTGTAGAATGGGTTTGTAGGAGTAAAGCTTCTCCACGTCCGACCAGTTTTTCCAGTTTGATTGAGGACACACACACACACACACACACACGGAGCAGCTCATACACACTGACACGCAGCGAACATGGAGCAATAAAACACACCAAACACCTTCAGAGGATTCACACACGTCGAGTTGAGATCGGTAAGTTATCTTTGAGGTTTTTTTTTAATACATTTTTAAGCCGTTTGTGTTCTTGTAAACGGTGTTTTGAGGGTGTGTCCCACCTTAGTTCCTCTACCTGTGTGTGTGTGTGTGTGTGTGTGTGTGTGTTTGGATGGACGACAGCAGAGAAACTGCATGTTTGTAAAGATTTATTCAAGTTTATGCTTAGAACATGTGTTTAAACTCTCATAAATGGTCTTTAGTTTAGTGGTTGTAGCGGTTCTTTGGAGGTTGAAAAAAGTTCTTGATGTTTCATGTTCTTGAGATCAATATTGGCATCATAGAGGTTCTCATAAGCTTTATTTTAGAGTTTGAACACTATCACTGTCAAATTATTGGTGGTTTACCTTACAGTGGGTAATTTTTAAATGTTATGTTCATTGAAATAAAAGAAATTGAGTTGATACAATGAAGGGGATTTGTTTAATCAACAGAAACTCCAAATATTATGTTATCTTGGTTATTTGACGAAGGAAAAAATGTGATAAGTCATGAAAAATATGTTTTTTACAGTTGTTCTGACTGAAGTATCAGTTGATAATATTTTTCTTATGCTTATGAGAACTGATTATAAGCAAACTCAGTTTTTGTTTGACATTCGTGCACTAAAAGTATAGTTGTATGGTTCTATTTATACTGTGATTCCACCCTGATTATGCACAAAATGACACGTCAAACGTACTTTTGTCAAAACATTACTTTTGCTTGGTCTAAGAACAAAAGCAATTCATTTTTTACATACAATTGTACACATTCAAACCAGAATTAGCTTCTCATTTGTTTGTGTTTGGCTCTGTTTGACCCCAGTAAGCAGTAAGACCACAAACCGTCCAGTAGTCAGAAATCTGATCTCTTGTTTTTCTCGAAAGGTCTGTGTCTTTCATGATAGAAGATTTCATTTCATGTGTTTCTGTAAGGCAATCTTTCCATCATGTGTTCATGTCAAGTCAGATGGGCATGTGTCGTAGTGTAGAGCGCATCAAACATGGCTGAATTAGTGTCAATTAAAACATACTAATGTTTCAAATTAGACCAAATTGACTTTATAATAAAAAAATAAAAATAGTGCTACAGTTTGCAGTAATATTACTAGTTGCTGATTCTTATAATCAGGGTTTTTACTGTCTTGGAAATGTTAAAAATGTGATTTCCAGGCCTAGAAAGTTCATTTAAATGAATAAAATCGTATATATGTTCCATATAGCGTGTTGGGAATGCAATCTCTCTAAAATTATTTATGAAAAGCTATTGCAAAATTCTGGAAAAGGGGAGTCTGGAAAAAAATCCATGGGAGTGTCAGTTTTGATGTGTTGAATACGGGTGTGTGGAGAAACCGAGCCAGTCGTGTGTGTGAACCCAGCAGACAGAGAGAGAGAGAGAGTCGTCCTGAATGAACGGTGGGTGTAAATCATCTCTGTCTGGGGGGTTTCTTCTCTCTGATGAATGAATCTGCTGTGAGAATGTCTGGACATGTTTTGACGCGATTGAAATGTCCATTATGTTGCTGTATTTGGGTTAAGTTGATCTGCCGCCTCACAGAACTGGTTTCCTCTGTGTTCAGAAGGACTGCAAACATTGTGAAATGGAGTGGGTGCAGTTTCTGTTGCTTTCTCTTTGAATTACAATTACAATCTGAGCATTTATTACATGCTTTAGTTATAATTTAACATTTTATCTGTGTCATTTTAAATGTCAGAATGGTAAATCTATTAGTTTTCACATGCATCAAACACATTTTCTGTATGTTGACTCATGGTAGTTATTGTATTAGAGATGCACTGATGTAGAAATTGGCTGATATTATATTATATATGCCATATTTCTATGGCTGATAACCAGTATTATGCTGATGTTATTACAGCATGTAATATGTATAGGCTTAATTTAATGTTATTATACGATAAATAAATGTTATTTGATTATAAGTTATTTTAATTGTTACATTAGCCCATATAATGGTGTATATAAAGTTGAATATTAAGACACTTTTCTTGTTTCAAGTAAAATCTAGAATCAAAACGCATTAATAAATGGTAGAAAAGATGCAAAACACAATAGCAGTGTTATATCATTGATATACTGTTTTAGCGGATATTTAATTGATATTTTGTCATTTTTATTAGATCTTTTTGAAATATGACTATATAGGTTTATTTATTTGTATTTCAGTTTGTTATTTTAGTACATCAAGTTAAATGAGAAATGTTGAAATGTGTTTTATATTTGATTTGATTTCAGTTAACGTTGATATATTATTACACATATAACTACTGAAAACTTGAAAAATAGTTTACATAGAATACTTGATGGTTAGTTGTGATTTAAATATTTTTGTATAATGATTTCTAAACTTAATTGTGTGTTCATCTTGTTGATAGATTGATTGTTTTGTGTTGTAATGGACTATTTTTTTTTCTAGCAGAAGCTTTAAGGTAATCTATCTAGTCTTAGATCAATATTTCTGTGCACTTATAGGTATACTTGGCAAGTAGTTGTTTAATAAGTAGGATAATACACAGTTATCCAGTCATTATTGATAAATCTTCTTCGGCTTCATGTCGGATCTCCCTGTAATGGTTTATTTGGCGACTGTAGTGCCTATAGACCTTATGCACCAGAGAAACAAGCGCAGCCATCTTTACAATTATGTCTTTGAACTTCTGTTTGTAACGGTAGCTCTGAATATTTTTATGGCATCGCTGTCGAAGAGTAATTAGCTGGTGAAGTGGATTTACTTATTGTAGAGTTAACGAAAGTTATCTTGAGCATTGTAATGTTGTAACAAATGTCAGAAGATTTCAAAACGAGCGGTTCATTTATAAATCCGTAAGATCTTACCTTCATGCTGTGGAAATACAAGCCAGAACTGGAATTTTAATGAAAAATACTGTTTTTGTTTTTTAATAAATTTTTCCCATAGGATTTTAAAATCTTCTTTGTTAAAGAGTTCTCCACGAGTTGAAATCACAACACTACAAACTTTGATTTGAAGCAAAAAAGTATTTGAAAATCGGACAAAAAGACAAAGACTGTGAACTTAACGGCTTTAGTGGGGAAAAAACTACAATCCCATGAAGCATTGTGAATGACATAATCGAATTAAAAACGATGGAGAAATATAAACCTACTCATTAACAAAAGTTGATATGTATAAAAATATGTTTTTGCAAAATATCCATATGTACAAACATTTCAGTATTTTGAGAGACTCTATTACGTCATTCGCTGAATCGCTGTGCTTCGTGGGAGTGGGCGGAGCTTTTGGCGTGTTGCTTGTTTTGACTCTCTGATTGGTGGAATTTTCTGTACAGCATCATGGGTAATGTAGTTTTTCACCATGAATTTCACAGTTAAACATGATTATTTTTAAAATAAGCTTAAAGGCCCACTGAAGTGCCTTGGAACGCGCAGCTTTGTATTTTGCGTTGATGTAATTTCCACTGAAACAGGAAGCTAAGGTGGGACATATTGAATGGCTCCTCCCCCTTTTCAAATAGCCAATAGCGTTTAGTTTACCTCACAGACCATGGAAGTGAATCCGAGCGCTGATGATACGTTGGATTCAATAGTAGAGGTGTGAATAAATACTAGCCGTTTCATTCTTAACCAACGTAGAGTTGGAAAACAGAATAAAACTTAAGCGTTTGAGCAACTGAACACACATCTCCAACCCATATTGCTCTGTGACGTGTCAACGGTCGCTTTGTCCAGGTGGTATTTATAGCATAGGGGGCGGAGCTTTAGATTCTAGAGAGCATTTGATTGGACAGAAGATGTGATGAGAAGTCCGCGGTGATGTCATAAAAATCTGTGATCCATTTTAGCGGAAGTGAGAGACTAAGTTTTGAATGCTTATATCTCCTAAACGCAAATTTTGTCATTGTTTTGGAACACACCAGCATATTCATAACCTTAAGGCTGACATATTCATACTAAAAGCTAAATCACTCAAATTTTTTAAGGGGGCCTTTAAATAATGCGGACTGACGGCTATTAACAACCTCGTAGCTCACAGTAAGGCTGTCTTTAAAGGTACTACTTGAACTTCATAGATGCAGACCAGTGCAGCGCTAAATTACATCATCAGGTGCGATTCTTCAACTCTGTGTAGTTCATTTGTAGGTTAAATGCATCACTGAAACCACTTCATGCAGAGTTTAGTTAGTTGTGACTCGAACGTCAAGTGCATGGATAATGCATGGGGCATCTGTCCCGGAAGACCCCCATCCTCACACATCTCCTGTTTCTGCTCTCGTCTTTCTCTAATGGAGGATACTGTTACCCATAGTGCTCTAGCAGGTATGAGAGGCCAAACACATGTAGTGGGGTGTAACACGACTCAATTGTGATACGTGGGAAAAGTTCACCTCCGTAAAGTGTTGCTAAACAATGAGTTTTAGCGGAGGAAGAGAAAAGATTTCTATGTTTATACATATATTTAAAGTAAGCATGGAATCAAAATTTACCAGTTTACTTTCTTCATGCATGTTCCGGATCATATTGTTATTGCAAAGAAGAAAAAAAAAAGGTTGTGTTAGTAATTTTCCAGTCAATTTCTGATTTATAACACTGTAAAAGATCCAACTATTTTAACTTAAGTTTAGTTGTTGCCTTAAAATTTTAAGTGTAATCAAATTGGCTGTACAGGTCACCTTAAATTATATTAAAAAGTTAACAGAGTTGAATCTCATAGCTGTAATTAATGAGTTAAAGTAATGTAAAAACATGAGTTGCCAATGCCATGACTTATTATTGTTCTCTTTCTCCTCTTTTACTAAATAGTTTTTCCTGGGCACCTGATATCTAATTTAGTGGCCAAATGATATGGATTTTTAAATGTTTTATGCTAATGTCACAACACTGTAAAAAAATGACTATTGCAAATAGTTATCACAACTTAAAATTCAATATTAGAATAAATAATAATGTGTCGTTTCTACTTAAAAAGCAAGTGTTCACGCTGCCTTCATTTTAAGTTC